CTGAACCGTTGATACAAGGCAGGATGGATCCATGCTTTCATGTTGTAGACGCCAAATTCTGACCCTACCATCCGAATGTCGCAGCAGAAATCGAGACTCATCAGACCAGGCAACATTTTTCCGATCTTCTATTGTCCAATTTCAATGAGCTTGTGCAAATTGTAGCCTCAGTTTCCTGTTCTTAGCTGAAAGGAGTGGCACCCGGTGTGGTCTTCTGCTGCTGTAGCCCATCTGCCTCAAAGTTCGACGTACTGTGCGTTCAGAGATGCTCTTCTGCCCACCTTGGTTGTAATGGGTGGTTATTTGAGTCACTGTTGCCCTTCTATCAGCTCGAACCAGTCAGGCCATTCTCCTCTGACCTCTGGCATCAACAAGGCATTTCCGCCCACAGAACTGCCGCTCACTGGATGTTTTTTCTTTTTCGGACCATTCTCTGTAAACCCTAGAGATGGTGGTGCGTGAAAATCCCAGTAGATCAGCAGTTTCTGAAATACTCAGACCAGCCCTTCTGGCACCAACAATCATGCCACGTTCAAAGTTACTCAAATCACCTTTCTTCCCCATACTGATGCTCGGTTTGAACTGCAGGAGATTGTCTTGACCATGTCTACATGCCTAAATGCACTGAGTTGCCGCCATGTGATTGGCTGCTTAGAAATTAAGTGTTAACGAGCAGTTGGACAGGTGTACCTAATAAAGTGGCCGGTGAGTGTGTATATATACATACATATATATGTGTGTGGGGGGGTGTGCGTGTGTTCTAAAAGCAATAAACCATAGCTTCCATGTTACAAATGTTCATTTCTTAGGAACTACTACAACAAACATATTAGTCATGTATAAAGCAGAGTAAAAAGTAGTGTTTCTAAAACTATCATCATTAAAGTCAACTATACTTCAAACTATATTTCCCTCACCGTGAGGACCCTGGTCTGGCTTGGACTTTGTCTTGAATATCACATTCATGAGTATGTGGAGGGGTTAGAAAGGCAGACCCCACATTTTCAATCTCAGCCTTCCTTTTCTGTCGCTCCTTAGCTTTCCACCACTCCCTCTGCTTTCGTCTTCAAGCTCTCTTACTCAGGTCACTGATTGATTTCTTTGCTTCTCTATCTTTTTTCCATCGCTCACGCTCTTTCCTGAGGTATTCTTCTCTTCTTTGTGAATCTGCATTTCTTCTCACCCTGTATTCTCTTTGCCTCTCTGCATTTGATTTAGCCATCAGATATCTGAAAATAATGTATGAAATAACATTTAGAGAAAAGGGACTAACTTGCTTAACAACAGAAAAAGCTTCAACCCCGTAACAATAATTCAACCCCGTAACGGTGTTTTTTGTTATGGGGTTGAATGTTACAGGGTTGAAGATTAAAGCCAAAAGTAGTTATAAGTCCACATTAGCTAGCAGTATGGTGTAGCTTATGGCATGTGGAAAACAAGAAATTCAAGTATTTTTTAAAGATAATTGTTTTATTTTTCCCAAACAATATTAAATATCATTTATACATGTAACAGTGTTGAAAGGTTGAGGTTGACGATGCAAATTTATTGATAAAAACGATTAAATTTAGGTGAGAAAGTAAGCTTTACACTTACCTCTCTTCACAGTTTGAGAGGGAAAAGAGTTGAGGGATGTCACTTCCTGTGTGTGGTTGAAGTTGGACTGAACCAATATTTTAAAAAAGGGAACATTGGTATGCCGTTACGGGGTTGAACAAAAACTGAGGGACATGATCAAATAGTGCTATTTTGTCAATAATTTGTTTATTTTTCTCATATTTCTTTTATTCAGCTTTGAGTAAACATGCAAATAATAATTTTAGCAGAAAAAAATTTGATTATTCTAGCTATTTTATTTGTTTTACATTCAGTGAAAAAGTACTTTAGGTGCGAGGGGACATGCTCATCTCACTTACCTCTGATCTTCTGCAGCCCATAAAATCTTTAAAAATTTAAATTTTAGGATATAGATGTGTGTTATAAAGCAGAGACACGCGGATCTTTCCATTTGTTCTTTTTAAATTCTCTTTATTGTTTACCTTATATGAAAATCTTTGAGGTAAACCTTTGGGGACACAAAGTGCACCGAATTCAGAGAATCACCAACCTAGGTAAGTCTGGCTTAAAAGGGGGAAACAGATTTAGTATACAAATTATATATTTTATTTATGGATTACTTTACAATTGGAAGACAACTTTATTATTCTATTTTAAAATCCAATAAGGCACAAGAACCCGTGACAGAAGAAGCAATCTCAGACTCTAGAAAAACACTGCAAACCACGTTAGTAGCACACAAGATCAAAAAAGATTATATTAATTTAGAAGAACACGAATCTCACGTTGCGTCCTATAGAGCTGCGCCCAATCAGCTTATTTATAAAAGAAATAAATGGTCGTTCTGGTTCTGTAGTGCCCGTGCTACAACTCTAACTCCAGAGAAAACCTTTTACCAAGAGCATAACAAGAAAAGGGGTCTCAATGGTGAGAGCATAATAAGCAACAGCAGCAATCTGTAACAACCAAAAAAAACAATAAAGTGTCTGCGGACCATTATACAGGAAATACAGAAATAAAAGAAAACAATGTACCTTCATCAGCCTCAGACAGGGATATATGCAGACGCTTCCATGAAAACTTTTCCAGCAGCGCGAATACCAAGATCCAAATTTTGTGTAGCAGCACGGCTCCCAACGCTCAAAAGAATCTACTGCACACCAAACTAAGCCGACTCTCATAGCTTGCTTGCACACCTGGTGCCTATATACGCTAATGAGCCTGTCAATTCTGTAAAGCAGACGTGAAGGTAAAGAAACGGAGCTGTGATGTGTTCAAGGACCCAAAACGGGTGGGAATTTACACCCAATAGACCACCCGGTTACATTAAGATAAAGCCTAATTAATAATTAGTATTCCCATAAATAAAAGCTCAAAGCTGTATTTTTTTATACACAGCAGCCAGGAGACATGCACCCATCCAACCTACACAGAGCTATAGGTCACTGCCAGACTGTCAACAAACACTTTTAGCAGGAGTGGGAACACTGCATCGACCTGGAAAGACTTTAAAATACAAAAAAAAAACAGTAGGCAGCAGACAATTATCTCCATCTAATGCTGCAGCCTCAATTCACTATGTTTACCTTGAAAAGCTTTTAACAGATAACATTTTTTTTATCTTACCTGCATTAAAATGCAGTTTCAGAAACTGCATAGAAGCTGTCTCATGCATTTCTTTTTCTCCTTTCCTGATCTTCTTTCTTTAACATTTCAATACCACACTTGATCCTGCATTCAGACTTTTTTAGGCTCGAACTGAACCTGTATTTGTTATTGCACAGGCTAGGATACCTCACTTGTTATGTCGGGGTAATGTCAGGACAAATCACGATCTATTATTATATCGGAGTTGATCTATTTCAAAAGGGGCGTTTTAAAGGCCTTCAAAGGCGAATTGTTTAGATAAAGAATGTGCATTTTCTTGGATAATCAAAATGCAAAAGGCTTTAAGTTTAAAAGGCAAAAGTGCAATCAAACTTTTCATTCTAAGTTGTATTGGTCTAAATCTGGGGGAAAAAAAACTATTTTAAAATATTTTTTTTCAATTATTTTTTCATATAATAAAAGCAATAATTTAAAAATACATTCATCACTGGTTGTTCCACTTCTAGCTGCTACAGTTGCTGTCAATTGTTAGTGATAGTTGGCAGTGAAATCCCCTTTTACATCACTGTTAAGATGGCAAAGCATTCTAACTAAATTTAGACTTGACTTGGTGAAGACTTTCCTTTATGGTTGCTGTTTTCTTTTTTTTTCAGCTGTTATTTGCAGGCATTTACATTCAGACTTGCTTGCCTGCATTAGATCAGGATCTTCTGGCAGAGAGCAGAATTTATGTCTACATAATTCTACTCATGAGTCCGCCCGAACCCTAAAGCTGTACACTAGTCCCAAATCATTACACTTGTTTGACAGTGAATTTGATATCCTTTTTCCAAAATTCTCATAGTTGGCAACATGAAGCATTCTATACAATTCAATATTAAAAAGTTTTGTGGGGGCAAATGTGAGACAGGTCTTGGTATTCTTTTTGGTCATCAGGGATTTTTTTTACCTTGGAACTCTCTGATGAATGTCCATTTTCTAAATTTTGTTTAAACAAGAGCACTGACAGTAACTTTGGAAAAAATGCTTTAGACGTAGTAATGACCTGGACATATACAGTAGTAAGCTTATGGTAGTAAGAAATCAACTCTATTGCTGCATTGTAGGTTTTTAAAAGCTGAAACCTAAATCCACACCCTCTGTTTAAGGTTAGTTTTTCTTTCTTAACATAGATGGATTCCTTCACACCCCTCTCAAACCACCTGTCTTCTTTGTCCAAAATGTGAACATTCTGGTCCTCAAAAGAATGTCCTTTGTCCATTCTTTTAATTTTTTTTTTTACTTTTTTGGAATCATCAAGCACATCTCAGCTTCTCTAAAAAATACGGTTTGTCACAACTTCTTGCCATTGCTTGTTCTCATTGGGTGTAGTTCTTTTGAAAAGCTTTTCCCCTTTGAAAAAACAAAACATAATTTGCAAAATGTATGCCTGTATTTCAGAGTGTATAAATAGGTGCTTTGTTGAGTACAATGTCATTCAAAATGATTGAACACTGACCCAGTCATGTTAATTAATATGACTGTTCTAAAACCATTCAGTAATAACTTTCAAATAATAATTATTAACACCTAAATGTCCTCAAACTGATCATAGATTAAACAAAACAAGACAAAACCCAAATGTATAAATGTATTACTGACCATAATAATGAATCATGAATCCTGCCACCATATTACTGCCTGATCAAATATATGATGTCCTCTTACAGGATCTTCCTGTGTTAATAAATTATTTATTATTTTCATGTTAAGATCCTTTAAAACATAATCCAGATTTGTTAGAAAGTGCATTAATATTATTTTTCTTTCTTCCTTTTTATCATACCCTCTTGTAGACCAATCCCGCAGGGCAAGTTTTGCCTCTGTGAGACAATCGAGTATGGAGACCCCTCCTAACACGACACCTCAACCCTTCAGGCAGCCGGTGAGTACAATAAAACCCAAAAGGAGAAGCTTTATTTCACAGAATTTTTTCATGTTCATGGGATGTTTGTTTTTGTTGTTTAATCTACAGAGTTTTCTCAATCGAAGGCTGAAGGGTTCCATCAAGAGGGCAAAAAGTCAGCCGAAACTGGACAGAACCAGCAGCTTCAAACAGATGATTCTGCCCCGGTTTCGTAGTGCTGACCAAGAGCGGTAAGTTATGGAATAAAAAGCCTAAAATGCTGATAATATCAAATGTTTGCTCTGTGTTCATATTTCAAAATGTTCAGGGAGAATTCAGTATTCTTGGAACCTCCCGGTCGGAAGGAGGCCCTAAAGCCTTCCTAGTTCACCCCAAAGCCCAAAGGCCTGATTTTAAGTCAGGTTTAAGGCATGTGCTTGATGCTGTTTCAAAATCTTCTGTGACTCTTGGAAGTTTTTACTCTTCTAAAGATTACAAACACAAACTGAAGTGTATTCTATTTGATTCCCTGTGATTGAGCAAGCCGATAAGAAAGTAGATCAGTAGATCATCCGTAGGATGCATAGTATTTTATCATTATTTTGCAAACTAATGCAGACCAGGAAGGGAACTCTGGAGGCACTAGAGAGAGCCACAGTTTTGTTGCAAGAATCTGTTGACAGTTTTACTATCAGTTGTTGAGGATACATTTTGCCTTGTTCCCAGTAAAGAAAGACCTGCTTTAGTTTGTTGTAGCTGTCAGTCGGCAGTGGGCATAAAATCCTAGCATCAGTGAGATGATGCTTCAAGATGAGGACTGAATTCTACAAGTGTGTTAGTGGTACTGAGGCTATCCAACCTCAGTTAAGGACAACCAAACATGTTTAAAACTTTTTGAGTTGGATCTGGATACAGTTAGGTATTGTGAAGAGACAACTGACCAAAGTTTCAACAGATGATGGTAGCAGCCAATGTTTATTAATGTTCTACTGCACTACTCTGAAATAGTGCTAGACAGGCTACTATGTTACCTTAACAATATTTCCCTGAAGCCAATCCATGGTGGACTTTGAAAAATGCTTGGGAACCTTGTCCTGTTTAAATCTCTATAGATCTTACAGCTTTCTCACAGAGGATGCAATGTTTTCTCTCAGAACTTCCTTTTACTTGTTAAATCTTTCTTCCAGCCACCCACTGCAGATAATCAGTGTCAGAGGAAGGAAAACAAGCAGCAGAATTAGATTAATTCGAAAATTAGATAATCTGACAGAGCTATATGCAAATTCAGTTTTTTGTAGGTATCAAAAAAAACAAAAAACAAATACTGTACAAATTGGGGCAGAATAACATTTCTAGTTCCAAATGCCCCAATTAAAAATGCCTTGGAAGCCTACCTTCACACAACACCGATACAGCGGGTCAAAGACGAGGCTTTCCTCCCGAACTTGTCGGTCTTTAATCATGTTGGCCGTGTGCTGTCTTTTGCATAATTTAATCTTATTGCAAGTGTTCCATGTAGCTGACTAACATTAAGACACTTTTTTAAATGCTGAAAAAAAAACACAGAGTTGCATATAGACTCCTGCAATCTATTTTTTCTGGGTATTCCGCAGCTTCTTCTTCTTCTCAACAGACAGGGCATCAAAAGTAGGAATACAAAATTAAAAATCTAAAAAATTCTTAGAGAATTGAAATCATAAAACTGACTTTTGGGTTTCGGTGCCTGACCCCATTACTACCCATCTCTGACAATAAGACGGTAAATCTTTCAACTTAATCTTATTTCCTCCTTCTCCCTTCATAACACCTGAAAATTTCTAATTTTAAATCATGGATCTACAGAGATAAATCCTAATACTTCTTTTGTGTATTTGAAGAGTTGTAGGTAACTAATGGTGGCCAGGTTTTGGGGTCAGTAGGTATATATTTCTTGTTGTGCAAAAACTGATTCCTTGAATGTTTTACTTGTTTTTACTGCTTTATTGTGGACCACCTGCCTAGATCAGGGTTTCTGGGGACAGTTGTTGATAGCTTTTCTTTCTGGCGCACTGGGTTGGGTGGCCGCTGTTCCTTTGCCTTCCTTACTACAGTATGCATCCAGATGTAAATGGTTGCATTTGCAATGGAAAGGCAACTGGAGACTCTGAATTATATTAAGTCACTAGGTCCTGATGGTTTCAGCCCTGAAGGCCTGTGCAGAGCAGCTCTATGACAGTCTACAGCACCTCTTCAACCTTAGCCAGACGCAGGAGACAGTACCAGGGATGAGGAAGACCTCCTGCCTTGTTTTGGTACCAAAGAAAACAGTTGTCAATGACTATAGACCTGTTGCCCACACATCATAATTAAGGTCCCAACTCCTGTTGGTCCAACTGAGCAACAAAACAAGCAGCAATTAAGACCTCTGCTGTTTGCTTATCGTTGTGGAGTTGGAATCAGCACGGAGAGCTTCTCCTGAAGCAGAGCCGGGATGATTGTATTGAAGGCAGAGCTGAAATCCACAAAAAGGATCCTGGCGTAGGTACAGTACCTGCCGAATCCAGGTGCAGGAGGATGTAGTGAAGGGCCAAATTAACAGCATAGTTTGCAGACCTGTTGGCTCTGTAGGCTAACTGTAGGGGGTCCAGGAGTGGGTCAGTGATCTCTTTCAAGTGTGAAAGCACAAGACACTCAAAGGACTTCATAATCACAGAGGTCAGGGAACCTGGCCTAAAGTCATTAAGTACTGTGGACCTTGGCTTCTTTGGAACAGGGATAATAAGATTATCGTCACTTCTGACCACAGTTTGGGAGACTGAAAGGTCAACTTTCAAATCAGGGAGCCAGAAGCACAGGAGCATCACAGAGGATGGTACTGTCACCATTATTTTTACTCTGTACACCTCTAACATCAAGACAGAGTCCTGTCATCTGCATAAATACTCTTCTGTCTTTGCAGTCTTTTGATGCATCAGAGATGGACAAAAAGCTGAGTACAGGGAGCTAGTGAGCTGCTTTATGGTATGATTTGGAAACACTTATTTGATCCTGAAAATGAACAAAAGACGGGAGATGATTGTAGATTTAAGATGAAATAGGAGCACTGCTGTTGTTTTGCAATTAACCGGATTTTATTTGAAAAATGATCAATAATATAAGAGAAATCACAATTATGAAAATGTACTCTTCTAATAATCCACAATAAATAGATATTTTGAATAATTGTAATTGATGGCTACCAGGCTGTGAAGATTATAATTAATATTTTTGATTATCAATGAACAATTATTAGCTTTTTTTACTTACAAATTTATATAAAGCAGTTGTGGATCTGGATTTGAATTATCCATGAGTAAACATCATAATATATTCCTGCAACTCATAGTTATTAATCATAAACCAGACTACAAGGAATATCTCTAAAATATGCTGTTTACCCAAAATAATGGTTCAGCATTAGCTTTTAGAGACAGGAAATCACTTACGAAAAGCCCCACTGACAACTACACTTAATTCATGCAATGATTTCTTAAATAAAAATAATTCCCTATGACAAACAACAATACTGCTCAACACTATTAACACTAAACTAATAAAATAATAAACAAACACAACCAGAAAGTGGTGAATAGTTCACTATGGACAGCAGTGGTTTTTAGACAATTACAGTAAATAATTAATCAAGCTTCAGCTTAATTTCAGCATTGAATAATAATCAACCAAACCAGCAACATATAATAAAATAAACACAGTAATGAGGTTAATGTTGTGGGATGATAATGGCACTTTTAGCTCCAAAAGTGCCATCATCTCAAAGTGACAATACCTTCCCCCACTATGTCCGGACAACACATGTGGTTACAGCAGAGATAGGGGAAGCAAACGGCTTCCCGAATGGAATCTGCAGACAATTAATGCAGACTCCAAGTTTACACAAGCTTCTTTTTCAAAGAAATGATAAGGGAGTAATAGATGTACTGCTTTGAACAGTGAGGATGCAAAGTACCATGCGGTCTACTGCATGTTTCCAAACAGCACTAAGCTAAAGTAGATTTTCCAGACCAGCGGTGGCTGCAAAGAGAGGGTTAATGGCGGGTTCTTTTCCATTTTTTTAAACCTGTCACAAGATGTTGAGTCACGGCATGACACTATTAACTCCTTAATTTACCCTTAATTTTAATAGGTAAAGGAAATAGTTTCCCAATGGAATGAGTATTTTTACTCTTAAAATAAAATATTTAGATAAAATGCACTAAGACAATGCAATTGTGTTTCTTATTTTAAATGTAAATTGTCTTGTTCCATTGGCAAAGTGTCTCTTTTACCTCCTCAATCCAAGAACAAATGCACTTATTTTAGGAAAAAAATGACTTATCTAGATATGGATTTTTTCCAGTGTGATAGAGAAAACTGGCTCTGTTCTACAAAAAAATCCTCTTGAACCTCTGGAGATATTTGCGCAAAGAAGAATTCTTCATAAAATTAGGAACAATACCAACATCCATGAGCACTTTCTATAGAAGACTGTTAAACAACAACAGCGTGGATTCTCCAAATACAAGACAGACTGCTACAGAAGGCTTCCTACATCTATCTACTTTGAAAACACACTGAACTATAATTTACAACATAAAATTTTCCTTTAAGATTAGTAAAGTAATTTTGAATTAGTATTTTATAGAAGCTATACCTAAAATTAACCATTTCACAGAATTTAAGAAATACTGCATACAACTAAACGTCAACATCTAGAGAAACTGTTTGCAAAAAAAACCCTAATGAGTACATAAACATTTCCCTTTGGGATCAATTTAGTGTTTTCGAATTTATAATTAATCTCTTGAATCTTTTGAATTGAATCCCTTTGGAGCATTTGAGGCCTATTTCTCAATTTTCAACAAACTTTTTGCATAGCTCTGTTACCTTTGCAATGTATCGGCTTGTTTATTTTTTTAATTTATTTTTTATGTTAGTGACCTTTATACAAGGTAAGCAGACTAGAAATTGACAGAGAAAGAAACAAGGATAGTCTAAAATTAGAGAATTTTACCAAATGGGTGCATTAAGGATTAATTACCTCTGTGTATGGTTCACCTGCTCTTCTGCTACACCATACACTGCAGCAGACTTTGCTGTATGTCAAGCGTGCAATGAAACATTATCTTCCACAGTCTAGGCTCAAGAACACCTTATGTAAGCAGTAAAACCTTTGATTGGTCACAAAAGGTATGCCTGAGGCCAAACCGGGTCTAAAAATGTGTGCCCTTGTGCA